CTTTCTTTCTTTCTTTCTTTCTTTCTTTCTTTCTTTCTTTCTTTCTTTCTTTCGAGAGCAAGAGAGAAAGAGAGCAGGGGTGGGGTGGCGAGGGGCAGAGGGAGAGGGAAAGAGAGAGAATCTCAGGCAGGCTCCATGCTCAGCTCAGAACCCGACCTCATTCCGGGTGTTCGATCTCACGACCCCGAGATCATGACCTGAGCTGAAATCAAGAGTGGGATGCCTCACTGACTGAGCCACCCAGGTGCCCCTCAACACCTATTTATTGAATAAAATTAACATAAACACAGTGACAGTCCACTGTGCCTTTGGAATTTGGATCTACTTGAAAGTCCTTGATTAGTACAAGAATGGTACTTACCAAGGTTTTCCTCGTGTAACTTATCCTGAAGAAACTAGTCTCCCCCTATAGACCACAAACTCCAGTGGGCCTGGGCAAGGACAACCTCACCATTTTGTCCCCAGGACCACGCACAGAGTTGGCACTTCTATGTGCTATATGAATGAATGCATCAGTGAGTCCAATAAGCAGAGCAGCTTCGGGGAATGAGGTTCTTCCTAATGTGTCGGTTCCATAGAAAGTGTCAGGGAGGGGAGCGTGGAGGGGGGAGTTCCATGTTGTGAATAATTTACTAAACTAAATCAAGACAAAAGGTTTAAGGGGAAACCACTTACCCTAATATGCCCTAGTCCTTGTTCTTTGGGAAAAAATAGGAAGATTCTGCCTTCTTTGGGGTTCCTTCAAAACAATACCACCCCCCACAACCCTATTGTTTTTCCATATTTTGTAAAGAGAGGTAGCTAGGAAGAAGTGGCATGAACCCTAAGCAGATTTCTTTCACAAACCCGTTCACCCAAATTCCTTTTTGTGCCTCCTAATTTACCTCCAATGCTCACCTCCGACCCTAACACTGCCTCTCACCTTTTGTTGTTTTAGGTCTGGGGTTTCTGGGAAAGAACTCAACCTCTTTGTTTCCCTTCAGAGAGCATTAGACATTTTATAGCTCCCTTTGAGAGTCTGCAAGAAGGGGACAGAAAAACATGGCTGCTAGGTCCTCTCAGGCACCCCAGGAGCTCCACCTGCTCCTCAAGGCACTGTAGTGCCCAGGAAAACCAAGTCAAGTTGAAAACAAGAGTTCAGATGATGCTGAGCATGAGTTGTCAATGCGAATGAATGAATGAATGAGGAGATTAGCCCCTCTGGCTCTCATGCAAGCTTGAGGTTGTCCCAGGAAGTGGACTTAGCTTGCGTAAGCCCAGGCCTGCCCCCTCACCCTGGCATTTGGTACTACGTACACCGACAGTCCTGTGGTGCTCTCTCCACACTACTGCCTCCTGCTGAGTCTGGAGGACCCTCCTCACCTTCCTCCATTTGGCTTCATCCAAACGGGGAGGTAACTAGATGTGTGTGTGTCACTGAAGACCCACAGGCAGCATATTTTTGTTAAAAGCTACAAACTGTTTATGCTCTTAAGAGTAAACTACAACGTATCATATACATAGTTTTAGATTTAATGAAAGGACACGGTGAAAGGTGAACGCCATCGCCCTTAGCTGTAAAAGACAGGGGTTGAAGACAGACTGATGTTCTCATCACAGAAGGCTTTCCTTTGCTAGCTTTAACCTTCAAGATGCTGGTACATCTTCTCAACGGGAATGACAGAACACCAAAAATAAATTCTGCATGAGTAATTTTTATTTATTTTTAAAGGTTTTATTTTATTTTTTTAAGGGAATACAAGCAGGGGGAGTGGGAGAGGGAGAAGCAAGCTTCCTGTGGAGCAGGGAGCCTGATGTGGGGCTCGATCCCAGGACCCTGGGGTCATGACCTGAGTGGAAGGCAGATGCTTAACGACTGAGCCACTCAGGCACCCAAGATTTTTTTTTTTAATTTTATTTTATTATATCATGTTAGTCACCATACAATACATCATTAGTTTTTGATGCAGTGTTCCATGATTCATTGTTTTCGTCTAACACCCAGTGCTCCATGCAGTATGTGCCCTCCTTAATGCCCATCACTGAGCTCACCCAACCCCCATCCCCCTCCCCTCTAGAACCCTCAGTTTGTTTCTCAGAGTCCATAGTCTCTCATGGTTCATCTCTCCCTCCGATTTCCCCCTCTTCATTTTTCCCTTCCTTCTCCTAGGCACCCAAGATTTTATTTATTTATTTGAGAGAGAGAGCGAGAGAGCGTGAGCAGGGGGGAAGGGCAAAGGCAGAGGGAGAAGCAGGCTCCTCCCTGAGCAGGGAACCTGCCTGGAGGCTCAATCCCAGGGTCCTGGGATCATGACCTGAGCTGAAGGTGTTTAAGTGACTAAGCCACCCAGGTGCCCCTGTATGAGTAATTTTTAAATGACCAAACACCAAAATTAGGATCAGAAGGAGCGGAGTTTAGGACTATGGAAAGGTTAAAGATGGATAACTGACATCCCTACAGCTAATATAATTAAATGACAAAATGTACAAGACTGTACAACCTGCTTGAGGGCAGAAGCCCAGTTCAAATCACTTTCTGTCATCTGCCAGAGCCTCACATGATGTCTTGCCCACAAAGTGAGTCTTCCGCAGATTTTAATTCGCTAGAAATTTTTGAATTGTATCCTATGTGCAGAGCTGGGCAACCTGAGATCCCAAGTAGAATCTCTGGGGCAGTCTTCGGTTTGGGGAAATGCCAGCCACTGTGATTGATGGCAATGGAAACTCGGGCACTGAAAAGTGAAGTTTAAAAGAAATGGGGAAACATAGCTGGCGTCCAGACCATATTTATAATCAGGGCAGAGTGGCCAGCTCTGGAAAGCCTCTGTCATTGGATAGTTGAGGGGAATTACGAAATTCAAATAGAAGGCAACTTTAAAAACTACGTTAAAAGACATGGCAAATGCAAATGCTCACTTAGTATAGATCAAGTGTATCTTAATTCATATTAGCCCAGGTCCTATGTGTATTTAGAACAGGCAAAAGATGTCTCTTCTGAGAGAATTCTGGAAAACGATGGTCCATTTAAAAATAGTTCATTATTGTAAATAAAGGACCTTACCTCAGGCTTTATGTCGCAGCAATCAGGCATGACTATTAAAAGGAACACAAATGTCTGGAAAAAAGATTCCAGTGGGTCAGTTCTTGGAAAGAAAGCTTAATCAGTATGAAAATGGGGACAATGTTCCAGGATGATGTGTGTTACTAAAAGCAAAGAGTATGGTAATTAAATTAAAAGGGAAGAAATATAAGCAAGTATAGGATTAATTTCAAATGGAAATACTATTCAAATGGTGTGGAGGGACAACAAAATTCAATTCTGGGGTTTCAGTTTTGTGGATCTGTTTCTTTCTCATGCCCTTGCGTGATTTATAACCTTTTTGAATGATAGTCTTGTCATCTAACAAATTTTCCTTTGACTCCTGAAGATGCATGTTTGTCTCCCTCTTTAGTTAACCTGGTCATCAATTCCTGTGGAATAAGGAAGATGATGTGGATTCTGTAAGTAAAGTACTGACCAGCCAGTTTCAGGCCCTGAGCTATCAAACCTGGTTCTTAGAATCCACGTTCTCAAGTCTGGCCCTTTGTTTAGAGAAAGAAAAAAAAATCAATAGGGTGGCTTGAGGGAGACATTTCCCCATCTTCACTGAAGGCTGATGAGCAATCTATTACCGAGGATCCTGTTGAGAAATTTGTGAACAATTGAAAGAGTTTATCTGATGGCTGACCAGCTGTGAAATTTAGCTTCAAGTATTTGATTCTTAAAGTGAGGGGGTTAATTTGGGAATTGTGAGTTTCCTTGTGTGGAAAAGGAGAATGGATTCCCTTTATTCTGTTAGCATACAAAAATCAACAACCCCAACCACATCTAAGTGAGAGGGAGAGTCCTCTGCTCAACAAAGTTAACATTCTTCTGTTTCTTCCTTTTCCTTCCTTATAATTTTGATACACTTACTTGGCTGCGTGCATGTGTGTGTGTGTGTGTGTGTGTGTGTGTGTGTGTGTGTGTGTGTGTGTAAAGCCTAAAGGCCTGGGCTTATTGCTAAATGTATGCCTTTAATTTTTATCTGATAAACTTCTGTCATAAAAACATGTCTTGTCTTTTCGATCCCAATATAAAGCAGATGCACCACAAATGTTTGTTGACTCTGGTCCTTCTTCTAATAACGGTGATGGGAAATCCGGGAAAAGAATGTGTTGTTTTCCCAAATACTGCTCTGTAAATCTCAGACGATAAAGTGCCAGCTAATTACCCCCTGGGTCCCAGGCTTTCACTGAGGCCTTCTAAAATACACAAAACTCAAGTGAGGGCATGACACCATTAGCACTACATAATTCAAGCAAACAATAAATGTGTTTACTCTGCCTGGCTACTGACCACCTGCCTCTCCATCCCACCAGGCAGGTATCTATATATAGGATCTCCTTGTTTGCATTCCTGCAGTGAGTGAGCCTTTCTTTCCTTGAGGCCTCACCATCTGTGAAACTGAAAGAAGCTTGGGCCCCCGACAGCATGTGTCTTCTCTTACTTCAGCTGCTGGTGCTCCTGCCTCTAGGGAAGGCTGTGCAGCAGCGGGATGGCTGCCCAAGTCAGAGTTCTGTCTCCCCTGTGCTCCTAGAAAGGGATCGCAGAGAGCTCCCCCTTGGCAACCACGAGGATGCTGAGGAGAAGCCAGATCTGTTTGTCGCAGTGCCTCACCTCATAGGTACAGGAGAAGGCCAGAGGCAGAGAGAGAAGATGCTATCCAGGTTTGGCAGGTTCTGGAAGAAGCCCGAGAGAGACCTGCACCCACCCCAGGATGTGGTCCCTGAGCGCTTCCCACCTGGGACCCATGCCATCACTCAGCCAAAAGATGGGATGCAGATGGAGAAATCTCCCCTTCGGGAAGAGGCCAAAAAATTCTGGCACCACTTCATGTTCAGAATGAGTCCAGCTTCTCAGGGGATCATCCTGCCCATCAAAAGCCACGAAGTACATCAGGAGACCTGTAGGACAGTGCCCTTTGGCCAGGTATCTGCTCTGGAAGGGGAGGGGATCAGAGTTGGCAAGAAAGGGGCGGACAACTGGGAGAAGTGGAGAGTAGGGGAGGAGGCTGCCAAGAGCCTGAGTCTTACCTGACTTCCAGATTGGATCCTTGGGCATTCATCATAACATGTGGCAAAGTATGATTATACTTCCCAAATTTCCTTCTAACTTTCCACTGGTTTTTGGTATTCTGGAAATGCTGTCAGAACAGTATGACGCTACTGCTCAGATTAGTAACCATTCATATTGATGGCACAGACCTTTGTTTTAGAGGGGGTTTACCTACTTTTATGCTGGAGGTGTTCTCTCCGGAGAGATAAGTAAGACCGTGCCCTCAGTTAGGAGAAGTGTGGGAACTTAGAGCAATAGCCAGAACTTCTCTCTGGCTATACCCCTACACTCTACTGGGATGTGGACGAGCAGGTTGACTCTACCTGTAGATAAGGTGGGGTACACTGGACTCCTCGACAAATATTCACACACACCAGTATCTCGGTCTTAATCCCTGTATTTCCCACCCGACTATTTCATAGGCTGTCAGATGGAACTTGCTACATCATTTCTAACATTACTGCAGCAAAAAATGATTTAATTTAACTTATTTTCTCATAAGCTTTCAAAAAATAATATCAGTGTGAAATCACATTTTCTCCCCTCAGAAACACCTCCGACTTCATGTCGCGTTGGCTGATTTGTGGTTATTATGACTGATTCTGCACTATCAAGACAAAGGGGCATTTTATACTAGCCACTTCCTCCAGTCAGTCCTGGCAAGCCCTGCACTCCAAATGTTAAATTAAATTGAGAAACTGCATCAGGTCCTTAAACACAAAGATACTGAACCCAAAGCAAGGCAGGGGAGAGTAAAATTTTACAGTCCAATAATGCTACCCAATTAAGCAGGCAGTATTATAAGGTAATTGACTGTGTAAGGCAGTTAAGTATTCTGCCTGAAAAGGCAAGGATATGTAGCAATAGTCCATTATCTTATAATAATGACTGCTTTGTTGGCCATATTGCTCCCAAGAATCGTGCAATCGAATTTCCTTTGAAAGTCTTATTTTGAATTCTGTTACTAATTAAATTAAAATTAAGGGGTTTGACTCATATATCTTGAAGGGCACATAAAGCTAGGTGAAGGGGGGATGGGAGAGACAAAGGTGATATAATGCATGATGATTTGCAGACATATGTGCTATTATTTTGCCCCATGCAACTTCATAGATTTGAACATACTATAGGTTCTGCAAAATAGAATAGAATTCATCTTGATGTTCTGATCTACTCTATGAGCAGTTGAACAATCACGTTTGGAGAATCTATTGTGCACAATGCGCTGTGGGGCATAGAAAGATAAGGCACATTACTTGTATAGGAAGTTAGCCATTCAAATTTTTTCAACTGGTAACATCTAATTAGACAAAATTTCTTAAAGTTTGGCATTTAAGATGTAAAGCATTTTCTCATTAACTTAGGGATTTCCTAAAGGCTAATTTATTAATCTAGTCAATAAAAGAAATTTAGTTGAGGTGGATTTATGCCCTTAGAGATTAGCCATCACTCAGATATTGTAATATATCCAAAATCGGTAAGTTTTTTCACATTTTAGTCTGAATTATCTTCAGACTTATAGTCTTTCGCTTCTGCATCATGTGTGTTAATGAAATGACTCAAGATAACTGAACGGAGATGTGTTTGCCTTGTAGACGATCACCCATGAAGATTGTGAAAAGGTAGTTGTACAGAACAACCTTTGCTTTGGGAAATGTGGGTCCGTTCGTTTTCCTGGAGCTGCGCAGCACCCTCACACATTCTGCTCCCACTGCTCACCTGCCAAGTTCACCACGATGCACTTGCAGCTGAACTGCACTGGCCTTGCCTCTGTGGTCAAGGTGGTGATGCTGGTGGAGGAGTGCCAGTGCAAGATGAAGACCGAGCATGAACATGGACACCTCCTCCAGGCAGGCTCCCAGGCAGAATTTCATGCCCAGGATCCCTTCATCCCAGGATTTTCCACTTAAAAAGAGATACCCACTACTACCTTGAAAAGCAAAACTACAGTAGCAAAGGTGCTGGTTTATGCAGCTTGGAAGTGTTAGTGGGTGCACACTATTTTAAGGGAAAGGTGGTTCAAAAGTAGTGAGATAGAACAATTTAGAGCAATGATGTTCATCTAGTTATGGGTACATATTTGGGATCTAGTCTTGGCTCTGCCCCCTGGGCAGGAGGATGTTAAGGAGTTGTGGAAGCTTTCTCCATCTCGAGGGCTTCATTTCTACGCGAGGGACTTGAATCAGATGATTGCTAAAGTCCTTTCCGCTAAGAATATTCCATCATCTAGGGTCTCCAAGTTCTGGCTAAAGCCCTCCATCTGAAGTTGGAAAAGAAAGAAAGTAGACCCTAAAAATTGGCTTCTTTAATGGCTTGTCAAAGCACCACCAAAATCACATATCTAGTATTTGTAGGAAGGATTCTTTGCATCTCAGGCAGCGTTTTATTTGCCTTCCATCAGATGAGTATTTGACTTGCATAGATGTAAGGAGTAGCTTGCTTGTTTGCCTCTTAATTTTTTTGATACGTCTCATATGAAGCTCTTAATGTCAGGTCCTTGGCTTTGAAGAAGGAACAGTAATGTTACTTTTAGTGGCTTATATAGGGACAGGAAACAATCATTGGTGGACACGCAAGTATCTCCACAGCGGGGAAATAAAAGTATATGACCAGTACCAGGCTTGAAGGTCAATTCACTGATGCTGATGAAAGTAACCAAAAAATTCCAGTGGACGTCAAATTAAATAAACCGCAAATGCTTAAAAATTGAAACAATTTACAGGTGAAATTCTTTATCCACATTCATTTTGGATTAGGTAGTAAGTTACAGGTCTGTGTTGGGATGACTGGTTTTTTGCTGTGTTCTAAAAACACTGTATTACAGATTTTTGTTCGGTAAATGCTGTACTTGCAAGGTCGGAAAATATTCTGCATATTTTAATGTATTAAATTTTAGTGTATGATGCATTCTGGGAAATGTCATGGCATTCAGTTGTCTTAAATTTTGTCTTAATGGTTCTTTTTCCTGTCCCATAACTTAAAGGTGCTATCTGGAGACTACATGCCTGGAGCATTTCTTAAATGACTTTAGAGGCTAGTGATAATGCCTCAAGTGTTACTTCTGACACTTCCAGCAGTTTTCTGTTAACAGAAAAATCACTGTCCTTGTGATTCCATTTCTTCTTCTGTATTTATTTGTCCTCATACATTGTACAGGCTGGCTTTCCCTCGCCCTATTTCTTTTTCTATAATCATTCTTTAAAAAATTCATCTTCAAATTATTTTAATTATTTGAATCCTATTACTTACAGTATACACAGAAAAGCGTTTCCCAGAATATTGATTTTTTTTTTTAAAGGAATCAATGTATACTGGGCGCCTGGGTAGCTCAGTCAGTTAGGCGACTGCCTTCGGCTCAGGTCATGATCCTGGAGTCCCGGGATCGAGTCCCGCATTGGGCTCCCTGCTCAGCGGGGGGTCTGCTTCTCCCTCTGACCCTCTTCCTTCTCGTGCTCTCTATCTCTCATTCTCTCTCGCTCAAATAAATAAATAAGATCTTTAAAAAAAAAGGAATCAATGTATACTTTAATTCTACTTCTCTTTAATCACACCATCTAACCTGGCATTCCAAAGAAGCGGATGCGTTTATATTTAGTGTATATTCTACATCAAAGTAATAGAATATGTGATATGCCGATACACATGTGGCATTTACATCAGAATATATTATACCCTTCGGTGGTCAAAGACAACCTAATTGGCCAAGATATGGTCATAAGGATGAAACTGTTAAGCATTAATGATAGCCCAGCTGGTCAATATAATTTGGTGCCAAAAGCTATTGAGCAGCTGTCTTGTGTGCAATTGCCTAACCCTGATTATGTAAACCTATCTCTGCCAATTGGACTGTCCTTCTCCTTACATGCTTGCAAATCCCTTTTATTTATCCTTGCAAATAGACTCTCAAGCCCAAGCCCCAAACAATCATCAGTCTTATTCAAACTCTGCTCTGCTCTTTCCCCATGTGAATTCAAGATGAGACAGTGGATGGTGATATCAGAGCTTACAATCATAGTGCAAACCTCATGAAATTGCCCATGTTCATTCATTTTTACTGGAAAAAATAAAGGCAGTTCTCAATGGTTCAACATAATACACGGGAGCACAGACACCTGAGAGAAACACACAAATATCGAACATCTATTAAGTGCCAGATAGTGTGCTGAGTCTTACATAAGTTACAAGTTATATAACTTATATAATACATAAATACATATATACATCTTCATAAACATAAATACATAAATACATACATACAATCTTCACAAACATCTTTTGTAAAATTTTATTTTATTTAAATCCAATTAATTAACATATAGTGTATTATTAGTTTCAGAGACAGAGTTCAGTGATTCATCAGTTGCATACAACACCCAGTGCTTGTTACATCACGTGTACTCCTTAATGCCCATCACCCAGTTACCCCATCCCCCCAGGCCCCCTCCCTCCAGGCCCCTTCCCTCCAGCAACCCTCAGTCTGTTTCCTAGAGTTAAGAGTCTCTTATGGTTTGTCTCCTTCTCTGATATCATCTTGTTTTATTTTTCCTTCCCTTCCCCTATGATCCTCTGTTTTGTTTCTTAAATTCCACATAGGAGTACAATCCTCACAAAAATCTTGTGAGGTGGGTAAATACCCTATTTTACAGGTAAGGAAAATAAGCCTTAAAAAGTTTAAGCAACCAGCCTATGGTCATTTGGAGCATATTTTCTATTTGTATAAAAATATTTGCTCCTTCATTGCCCATCAGTTTAGATTGATCTCTTTGAGGTCTCTTGCCTCTAGGCCTCAAAGCTAATTTCTTTTACCTCTTGCTCAGCAATCTTATTTGAAAGACATCGATGTTACCTCTTGAAAGAGAAATCATCCTTTGGTCAGGTTCTCAGCCAAGCATTGCCCTAACTTGAGAGGTAGTCATGGCAATTCCCTCATCAATCTTGGTCTCATTTTCTGCCCAGATAGGATGAGGGTGATAAATAATTACTTCAAAATTATTGTGGGGGCACCTGGGTGCCTTAGTCAGTTAAGCGTTCAACTCTTGATTTTGGTTCAGGCCATGATCTCAGGGTCGTGAGACTGAGTCCCATGTCAGGCTCCACAGGCAGTGGGGAGTCTGCTTGAGATTCTTTCCTTCTCCCTCTCCCTCTGCCGCTCCCTTACTCGTGCTCTCTCTCTAAAATAAATAAATAAATCTTTAAAAAATTATTGTGATGATCAAGTGTAGATAGCAGCACATCAGCAAGCTTTATATTCTGTAAAAACACAAGGGCTTAGTTCACTCTTTTCCATTCAGATGTTCTTTTAAAAAAATTGTTTTGAGAAACTTAAAACACATATCTTCTGTGCAAAAGATATCATAGCAAACACTCAAATTTTTACCATCAGAATATTTGACATTTTGTCATCTCGTGCTTCTTGTCTATTTTTGTTAAAGAAATAAACCATTTCACATATAAGTAAAGTCCCCTCCAACCACCATGCTGGGTTCCATCCCCCAAACCCCTGACCTCTCAAGCCCTCAGGCTTCCTTTTTATACTTTTAATATCCTTTTATATTTTTATAAAGGTATGTATATATCCATTTATAATAAATAGCATTATTTTTCTGTATATGTTCCTTTATGCAGCATGTATGTATGTATCTACCAGGTATGTGCAACATATAGCTCTAGGTGCTGTGAATATAGCAAGAAAACAAGTCAGACAGTCTCCCTGCTCCCATAGAGCTTACGTTCTAGTTGGGGGAGACAAGCAACTCGAGAATCAGTCAACTTGTTAATCAATCAACCAGAAAGGAAAACTATCAGGTGGCTGTAAGTGATATGCAAAGAACTGAGATAGGGAATTGTGCTAGAGGTTACTTACCTTAGTTTGGGTAGTCTCTGAAAGGGTCACAGGAAAGCTGTGAGTTTTTAATTATATCTATGATGTTCTGTTTGAATTGTTCTACAGTGGTTTTTTTTTTTTTTTTCTCCACACAGGGTTCTGTCTAGTTTTTGTAACAGTTTTCACCGTTTTTTTTAAAATGTATATTTTATCTTGATTCTAGAAACTTGGAATTAAGTATTCCCTACAGAGAGTGGTTAGCTTAGCTTTGATAATTTATTTTTTCAGTGTGCATAGTCTCTTTAAACTGTCAATTTAATTCCTAAGAATGTCATGCATCTTCTTAATTTTTATAAAGAATCTATTCTGTGCAAGACACTGTGCTGAGAACCCAGAGATAAGCAAAGATACATAAGTCTGCCCTGGAGCTTGCAACATTGTGGCAGAGATAATATGTGCAAATTATAAAGCAATAATGATAGTAATAATAGTAGGAGCTACCAATTATTGAACCCTTACTATGCGTTCAAGTGCTTTCTGTTCCTCACCTCCTAGAAATAGGTTTTATACCCATTTTTTTTTTTTTTTGACAAGGAGAGTGAGAGTCAGAAAGCTTCGTTCATTCAGTCCACAAATATTTATGGTAGTGATGAGCCTGGTCACTGTGCTGGGTACAAAGAATATAAATAATGGAATGCATGATTATTTGAATATAATTCCTGACCTTACAAAGTTTACAGTCTTGGAACAAGTAAATAAATACATTTGTTTCTGTAAAGCTAGAATGATGATCTTCCCAGCATGCCCCCCTCAACCCCAAATTGAAATTCCACTTTCTCAGTGAAGCCTTCCTTAAGTCCTACACAAGGTCAGTGTAGCCTTGCATGATTTCATGGTGCTGTATACCTTCACTTCCCAGCACTTGTTTCGGTTTATAATTATACCATTACTTGTGTCATCATTACTCAAATCATAAGCTCCATGAGAGCAGGGATAATATTGGGTTTCTTTCACCATTGTAATCAATGTCTAGGAATGTGTCCAGCACACAGTAGGTACTTAATACATTATTTTTTGTCTGCACAA